TTAGTTTCTACATATTTTTCTGATTGGGGTTGGTCATCTTCGATAATGATAACAGATTTTATTACTACTAATTGCTTCTAATTAGTAACATATGGTAATTTCAGAAATTTTGATCTATATCTCACTATTCAAAATTATATAAGCAAATTAGATATTTTTTTTTTGTACTTGTCTTTTGCTAAAATGATTTGAGAAATAAAAAGCAAATAAGTATACGCAGCAATTAACTCATTTGGAGTTGATAACAAAGATATTAATTATATGAAGCTATTATTAACACAGATAACTTGATAATTAAACATGAGATTTAATTTATATCAAATCAATCAGTTAAAATTATTTATTATTCACAAAGTGAGAAATAAAATTGCTTTTATATCAATAATATATGATAAAATTCTTTAAAAAATAATAAACAAAAATAATACTATTAAATTATTTTTTAACAAATTTATTTTTGAAGAAAACAGTATAAAGTTGCAATATTATGCATATATATTCAACTAAATAATATAATATACTTTAAACACTAATTTAACTTTTTTTATTTAGCTTTAACAAAAAAAATGATACACAGATCTTATTATTTTCAACTTTCTCATATTTCTATTAATTTTATTTACAGTAATTACTCGAATTCTTATAGCCTTATACCCAATATTTTGCTCGATTTTTCAAGAATATCTATTAATTAAAAGAATTTTATATTATCCTAATTTCTTCTACAATAGAGAATATCAAATATGTCTATTTTTATTTTAACAATTTGGTAGTTGTATGAGATTTGAAACATCTGTTTGTCTTTTATATCAACTAGAGATGCAGCCCTTAATGATAATATCTCCACAATTTTCATCTCTACAACCATCACTATCATTTCTACAACCATTACTACCATAGCCAGAACTATCAAAACTACTTCTATGACTATCAACACCACCTTCACAACTATCAATACCACCCCACAACTATTAATACCACCTTCACAACCATCAACACTATCTCCACAACCATCATTATTCTCACAACCATCATTACTTCTACAAAAATTACCCAAAACTAGTCATACTAACAATAAGCAATTAGTAGTAATAAAATCTGTTATCATTATCGAAGATGACCAACCCCAATCAGAAAAATATGTAGAAACTAA